TAGCTGGGACCACAGGTGCCCGCCACAACACCCGGCTATTTTTTGGTTGCAGCCGTCATTGTTGTTTGGCGGGTCTGGGCTGGATTCGAGCCCGCCAGCTCAGGTGTATGTGGCTGGCGCCTTAGCCGGTTGAGCCATAGGCGTCGATCCTAAATTATTAATATTAATATTAATTATTTGAGACAGAGTTTCACTTTGTTGCCCTTGTTAGAGTGCCATGGCATCACAGCTCATAGCAACCTCAAACTCTTTGGGCTCAAGAGATTCTCTTGCCTCAGCCTCCCAAGTAGCTGGGACTACAGGTGCCTGCCATAATGCCTAGCTATTTTTAGAGACAAGGTCTTGCTCTGGCTCAGGCTGGTCTCTAAACTGTGAGCTCAGGCTATCCACCCACCTCAGCGTCCCAAGTGCTGGGATTATAGATGTGAGCCACTGCGCCCAGCCTAAGAAAATTAAATTAAATTAAATTAAACCTTTGCTAACTTTGCAAGAAGCTGGAGAAGCTTCCCAAGCACTCCTCCCAAAGTGAAGAAAAGTGAGTAGAAACCAGTGTTAAAATTGGGGCTATCCTGGGGCAAACACTGGTTCCACAACGTTGGAGATTAAAAACCTGCCCGCGTGGTGCCTGTAGCTCAGTGGGTAGGGCGCCATACACCAAAGCTGGCAGGTTCAAACCCAGCCCAGGCTAGCTAAAACAGCAATGACATCAGCAACAAAAAAGCCGGGCATTGAGGCGGGCACCTGTAGTCCCAGCTACTTGGGAGGCTGAGGCAAGACAATCGCTCAAGCCCAAGAGTTTGAGGTTGCTGTGAGCTGTGACACCACATAGACTATGTCTCAAAAACAAACAAACAAATAAAAAAACCCTGCCTTTCTCTTCTGTGGTGAAAAACAAATAAGAATGAGATCTGGCTCACCTTGTATGTGAAGTAGGAACCATGTCCCTGCTCCCTAAACCACTCTCAGGTCTAGGACACCTGCCTTTAAGAAACGATTTTCCCGGCTCATCACTGGTAGCTCAGTGAGTAGGGCGCCAGCCACATACACCGAGGCTGGCAAGTTGGAGCCCTGCCCCACCCTCTAAACAACAGTGACAAAAAATAGCTGGGTGTTGTGGCGGGCGCCTTGTAGTGCCAGCTACTTAGGAGGCCGAGTCAAGAGAA